CCCCCCCTTTTTTTTTTACAGCGGTGGTCGCAAAATTACTCCAATTGGTAGAAATTTTAATGTGGTGGACAGAGTGATTATTTCAGATGACCAGAGATCAAACCTCACCGTAAGTTTTAATCTCCTTTACAATACCAAATAGAGGTCTCTTACAGGATTAGGGTTTATTCTTAAGGTTTCAGGAGGACTGCAGTATTTTTCGAACACTTGCAGGCAGCCATCAGTCACCCTACTGGAATAAATATGACTACTTGTAGGATTACAGTGGCACACATTCTAAACACAGGATTATGGATACACATAAACTGCTCTTCTGCATAATTCCCTGAGCCTTTTTTCTATGCTGTAGAGACTTGTTCCAAATTCGTCCTTTTTCAGCCTCCCCAGTTGATCTTTTGGAGGAGAGGGTGGTGTACTTCTCTCTGGCCTCGTGCTGAGAAACCAAAGGTGCCACTCCCTCAGCAACAGGTGGGAGACTGGAGCAGATTTGGGGACAAAACCCTTCCTCCGTGTCTGTAAGGAGACAGGCACTCTGTTGCCTCCTGTTGCAGCAGAGAGACCAGAAAAGAGCAGCACCACCCCATGTCGTAACCAGTGGGGTGAGTGTAGCAACTCCCTTCTATCAGGAGTTAAGTTGCGGAGAGCCAGTGCCCAGGGCTGCTGGAGAGCTCATCCTGCTCTTCTCGTCACCTGTATTGAGGGGAAGGAAGGAGAAATGACTGTCACTATTCCTGTCTCACTGCAGGAAATAGCTGCCTTAGCAGTGTGCAATCAGCCTTAAAGCAGTGTGCAGCGTGTGTGATAAACCTGCTTAAAGGTAGACACCGGCTCAACGCAGAAACTTTCCTAGGTGCTCTGCATACAGCCCTGATCACAGAGAGGAGGTTTAGCAGGTATCTGTGTGAAGTCAGGAAGATGTTAAAATGATTTTGAATGTCTCTGTTTGTAATTGTACATGCTGTTGAGTACTTAATGACTGTTACAGCTTTGCTATTGCGTTTCTAGGTCTCTAGGTGCCCTGGAAATGAATCTGAATATCATTACTTAACACCAAGCCTGAGCCATGCAACAGAGAGTAAAGTTGTTGATTTGATGTTAAAAGTGGACACTACCTTTATACCATGTGTCAAATTACACTATCACCCTGATCCTGTGTTCATTAACTACCAGCTACACACTGAACTGGATCCTGATCTGGAATTAAAAATATATGTAAGTTTGAAAGTAATAAACTGTAATTCCTTCTTTGAAATAGTCAGTGTGTCCATTTCACTTTTTACTGTATTTAGTGGCTGTTTATTATCTTCAATTTTTTCTCTCTAGAAAGAAAATGACAACTTGAATATTTCTAAAACTGAGGTAGAGGTTTATCTGTCATATATGAACGGTGCACAGACCAAAAAGATATGGTTCAGCGTCCAAAACATTACCAAAAAACCAGATCGTAGCACCATACTGTGCAAATTCAAAAGGGAAGGAACAGACAAGATTGACTTTTCCACAGTGAAAGTTTTTGTAAGTAGAATTCCCTTTTGTTGTAATTTTTAAAAAGCTTGACTGTTTATGCAAATGTAGTAAAATGTAGCATTAATGCTCTGGCCATGAACACGCTTTGTAGAGGGAGGGACTGGATGCATTTTTTGTTCTCCTGCTAATTGTCTGTCAGGTTATCCTCCTGACATCTAAGCATGGCTGACTATCTTAGGTACTACTAACAGTGCTGAGTTCATTGACTGTCTGGTTACTGTGGTAGCATCAGAGGTAGGCTCTGCAGTCCGAGCTGAGCTCACTGCTGCTGAGCTCCAGGAGAGCAGTAGCTTGTCAGACCTCTGGCTGCAGCACAGACTTCACTGATGCAGCATCACTGGCTCTAACAGAGCCCCTTATCTTAGATCCATGAGCAATCTGCTGCTGCAGTGTGGCCATGAGGCAAAGGATTGTGTCCTCCTGTTCACTTTTCGCACTAAAGTAGATATGGACCTTGAACAGTGCGTAGGGATCACCACTGAGGCAGAAGAGAAAGCATTTTTGCATGAAAATGGGGGTGAAATTAATGTGCACCAAAATGCTTTGAAGGAGGCTGAAATATGGCACAAAGCCAGCCCATAATATAAGAACATTAGCATGGATATCAAAGCTAAATGGCAGCTTAAGATATTTGCACCATGAATAAGATAAAGATATGAATTTTTTAAAAAGCAATCGTCACCATTTATGAGGGAGAAAAATGATGCCAGACTCTTACTGCAGTGTATGGTGGTATAAAACTGAAATAACTCCATTGACTTCAAGGCATATGGCTCCTAGTAAAGATTAACGAAGCTATTCTCGATTTCATATCACTGTTAACTGATCCCCCCCATCTGTGGATCCTGCCGGCTGAGCCAGTTATGGCATGGAAAAGCCTTTCTGAGCTTGGTGTTGCATTTAAATATTAGCCTTGCCTTGCAGTACCACACGCTCATCCTGCAAGCTTCATAGGAGTGACTGTCACAGAAAGGTCACCACCTCACTAAGGCATATCAAATGCAATCATTATAACATAACCTTTCACTTCTGGTACCTTAAAATTATTTTTTCCAACATCAAGAAAAATGAACAAGTAAGAAATCATCATGTGTGTTTTCAATCTTATAAATAAATCATCCTAGGAGAAGTAGGGCCACTCTGAAGAAAGGATAAGCCGAGAATAAACGTAATTCTTGCTTTAGTTTTCATGAAGAAAGGGGATACTGAGTGTGGGTCGAAGACAGGGTGATCAGTCTGAGCGGAGGTGTCGAGAAAGAAAATGCCATTCTTGTGACAGAAGCAAGATTCAGATAGATCAAGGGATTCAAGACAGCTGGAACAGGATGATTCCCATCACAGCACTGAAAAAGAACTGGCACATGATAACGTAGGCTTAGTAGGAAAGGTTATAAATAAAACTGTAGAGTCAGGAGAGGTACTGTGTGACTGGAGAGCAGCAAATGTAAAACTAGTGTTTGAAAGAAAAAACCAAAACCCTAGGCACATGGGAGCTTGTTGATTTAATCCTAGCTCTGTGTAAAGATTTATAATGTATTTTGAATGAGGGACTCATGAAAGGCCTGGAGGTAAGTGGAAAATGGAATAATTGTTAGCTTTTTAATAAAAGCAGATTATGGTAGTTATCTTTATTTGGTAAGATGTGATTTCCTCAACAACAACAAAGTGGTGGATCACATGTACCTGGAAGTCATTCAGTAAACTACTCAGCATGGTGATTATGAAGAGGCTAGGGATTAGATAAAGTGGATGCTGTGTATGGGGAGCTGACCCTGGGCAATACTGATTTTCATACAGATATTATTAAGTATCACTGGTGGCTTCAGCACAAGAACAAGGCATGCACTAATGACATTTGCTGATGGCATAAAACTCGGAGGCATTACCAGTCCAGAGGTTTTATAATGTCACGCAGGAAGAATGAAATGAATTTAGGAATAGGAGTCGGATGAATTCAGGTGTACCTTATTTAGTCCATGATTCATAAGCAAGATAAATAAAAGATAAGGACAGAAATGGGGCCACTGAAAAGGAAGGTTATGGTGACGATTAAAGATAATGTAGAGATGAACAGAAAATTAATGAACGCTTTGTCTCAGTTTTCAATAAGCAGGGATGAGTAACAGAAATTTCTGCTTTAGGAATGTTTTGGTTGGACATGACAGGTGGAGAAAGTCAGATGTATTAGTCATGGGATGATTAATGTATTTAGCCACCAATGCATTTCAGACTTGGAAAAGGCAAATGGGATCCTAGGAAGGCTCAGACCGGAAGTGCTTTGTATAGGAACTGTAAAACCGTATAAAGAACCAAGGAAAAGATAAAATTTGATGGAGGAAATAGTTGGAAATTCATTTCCAGGATGTTTCTGTTCTTTGTAGCCGCAGAAATGCAAAGGCCATGTCCTTCCAGCCCTGTGGGGTTTCTTTGCTTGTGTTGTACCCTGCGACGTAACTATACAATTGGCAGTCTACAGCTGCCCCGGCTGCTCACCTCACATGACAAGCCAGTGATTGAAGTCACCAGATCTCTGCCTTCCCTGCTGTAACCCCAAATAATTTCATCCCAACTCTGCTTTTCAATTATCTCAAGCTCATTTCTATCCCTGGCACTTGGCGGTATTCTTTTTCTGTATCAAAGCCTATTTTTACTTCTAGTCTGTTTATAGGCTTAGCTACCCTTTATTTATGTGTTTTCCTGGTCCTCTTTGTGATCCTCCTTTGTGAAATTTCTTCTGCCATAATTATCAGTGGTGAATGCCTCACTTTGGCATCTGGCAAACTTCAGCACTTTTGTGTATTCCTAAAAATTAATGCCTGTCCTGCCTTTGACAAGCCCAGTGGCTGTTGGGGGATGTTGTACATGTCTTGTATGTTGCATTTATTCTTAAGCAGACCTTCAGGAGCGCCCTAGATCTTAAATGAAGAGGTTGAAACTTCTGCAAAGAAACAGGGAAGAGGGCTGTGGGCCAGGCGTCTTATCAAAAATGTTACTTCCCTCATTATCAGCTTCTTACCTTGCTTTTCTGCTCAGCAGAGTAACACACTGAGTGCAAAGGGACGGTTTTAACTGTCAACAAGCGCCTTTCTCGCTTCAAAATGCAACAATTCTGAAGTGCGTGGGCCAGCTGGAGACCAGATCCTGCCCTTCGTTTGAGGGCTCTTGTTTGCAGTGACAGCAATGACAAAATTTGGTGCTTCATGAGGACCTGCAAGTTTTCCTCGTCACTGCTTTGTTATCCTGCTTAAACATCCAATACAATGAAAGTTCAGTTTGTGTTGGCCCAGGCGTTTTCCCAAATCGCTGCTTTCTTCCCAATAATCTGGAGAACCAGGGTCTTTCATGCGCCTCAAATAACATATTTTTTAAAAATACATTAGATGTCATTTTAAGCACTGATGATAATGCCTGTCCTCTATTAACACAGACATTATTTTTCTTCAGGTCAGATTAGGAAATTTTGAGCATGAGGTCAAACCAACATCATCACACATATATTTATATGTTCTTATTTTGCTACCCATTGTGGTGGGTGTCATTATAGGTAAGTACAATAATGCATTTTCAGGCTTTGATTTGCTGAAGGGTATAACCATGGCACACAAACGCACATACACACACCCGCACATGTTTGGGACTGTCACAACCAGCCCGGTGTTTTCCCCTGTTCCCAGTAGAGTGGACAGAGTTACCTCTCCACTGGTGGTGAAGTCCACCTTGTCAGACTGCAGCACATTACGAGACAGTGCTCTGGGCTGTTCTGCTGGGCTTATCACCACCATTTAGCAAGGCAGGCCATAGGGCCGACATCCTTGCCTCCAGGCCTGGGCCCTCCCAGCTACCGCAGCTGGGCTCCCCTCCCATCCCTGAGGCTGGTGTTTCCTAACGAACTGCTTATCCTCAGGCAGTGTCTGTGCGGTTTCTGCTCGGTCTCATTTGGACCATTCATGAATTTGTAGGTCACTGAGAGGGGTAAATACTCATCCCCTCCTCTTTTTGTCACTCCTTTTTTTCTAAAAGTTTAGCCCTGGTTATATATTGGATAAATTTCTGTTTATTGTAATACATTTGGGGGTTTGTTCTTCTTTTGTGTGCTCGGGTTTCTTTTTTAAAAAAGTGTAAGACCTTTACAGGAACCATATCTCATGCCTTTTCACTCTCAAAAGGAGCTTTAGAGAAGTCAGCAATTTTGAATTTCCTGTTCAAAACAACTGTTTTTCCTGTTTAGTAAGTGCTACTTTAAGTAGGTTGCTAGCAGTAGAAGCAGATTCTGTGTCTCACTGTGCAGGTTGTACATAGTAGGGTGTGCTGTACTTTCAAATAAGGTTGGATTGAGAATTCTAAGGCCTTGTTACAGGGAATGTTGTTTATTAAACTTTGGGGTTTAGATCCAGATAACTGGGGCTCCTGGGTACTAGCATTCTAACAGCAGTAGAAACAGTAATCCTCCTGGAGACTGCAACTGTGTATTAATCTTTCTGTTTCGTAAAATAATATTAAAATACGTCTCGTATAGGTGTTGTCAGTTCTGCAGTTTCTGTACTCAGAATCTTTTTTCCTTCCTTTTTAGCGGCATTCATAGTTACTAGATACAAATCCAAAGAGTTAACTCGTAAACAGAGTCAGCAACTGGAACTGCTGGAATATGAGATTCGGAAAGAAATACGTGAGGGTAGGTCAAAAGAGCTTTATAGAACATAAGTGCAATATAATTTCTGAACTGAAACTGTCAAGAAACTCACATTATATAAACATTTTGATTTTATAGCCCTTAGAATATTTTTTGTGTTGTACCAGGTTACCTCTTTAATGTTGGTGAGCACTGCAGGAGCAGATAGCACGGAACTAATAGGATTGCATGCAATATTTCCTTCAACAAAAGTGGAAAAAAAAAATGGATTGGTACTTTCCCACTCATAAGAGCTTCAGCGAGAAAAGCAACCCCTCTTGCCTGAAAACTGTCTTCTAAGGAATGTCTGCTGGGGCCGAGCTACAATTGTGAAGATGATTTTGTGTCAACTAAGCTAACTCTCTGGGTGTGTGTGCTTTTTCAGGATTTGCTGAACTGCAGATGGATGAATTAGACGTGGTGGATAGTTTTGGAACCGTTCCCTTCCTTGACTACAAACACTTTGCTCTTAGAACTTTCTTTCCAGAGGTAAATATTTACAAGTCTTTCAGTTGTCAGCCCTATCTAATAACGAGAAAGGTTGGAAGGTCAGGATCAAATTACTAAAGTAAATACTACACAGTAATTGCACATTGTTTTCACAAGAAACTTTTCTTAAGTCAGGAATTACCAAAGAACACTTAAGGCTGTACACCTCTATATTCAACGAAGACTAAATGCTGTAGATAAAGCACCATTGTTGAATTTTCAAGGGTTGTGCATGCATCCATTTCCGTTTTTGCCCAGCCTCACTAAGCTGCTTGCCTTCCAGGCCACCCTAACTAAACTATAATTTATCCATTGCTTTTTTTTGTTCTCATGCTTTCACCTTCCATGCTGTAGCTAATTAAAGCAACAGTCAGGCTAGCTAACATGCTAGCTAACATCATGACACTTCCTAATTAGACTTGTGGGATGAGGAAATGGCTCTAGGGTCGTGCTGACTTTCTACTCCAAGCTGCTGACAGAAATGGTAAGACCTTGATTCAAAGGAGCGTAGGTCAAATGCTTAAAAATTACACAAGTAGTTAAGTGCTGTCCAGTTTAGAAGTGGGTATTTTCATTGTTCTTTGGCACAGTTTGTGTCACGGGAGAGGACCGAAGAGGCCTTCTCTTGAATGTTTTACTACTACTTTTTTGCATATGTGACACATTATATTGCCGTTAAGTGCATTTACCATGGCTTTCAAATTATATCGTGATGTTATGCTGTTCTTATTGGCATTTACTAGTTGGCAGAAGCTCTGATCTGAGCTGGTGATAGTTTGCTGTGTAACTGACACCAAGGAGTAGAGACCTTTGGCTAGTGCTGTGGTGTTTTAGGTTATAGCTGGTATGTATGCACATTACCCACTAGTCTTCACTTGTTACTCCTCACTTCTGCAGCCCAGTCCTGCAGTCTTACCAGCACACTGCTTCGCTTCATCACCACCTGTGATCCTACTAAAAGCTCGTTGTTATAAACTTAAACACGGGCAAAATTAGGGCCTTTTGGTCTTACAACACCAAATACCAGATACTAAGGCAGAATAATATTTAACAATTCCATATGCATAATATTTGTACCCTTTGAGTCCATTTTTCACACCAGAGAAAACTGGGAATATCTCTTCCCGTACTGCTGTGATGCCCCCAGTCTAATTTGTATGGGGCCACTAGGAGATTTGAAGGAAATGGACCAAGGAAACCTTACTTTCTGCATCTCTTTCCTTTCAGTTTGTTTTGTTGCCAGGCATATTAACATTAAAATAGTGTTTTTATTTTTAGGAATATATCTTTTTCTAGTGATAGTCCCCTGTCAAAACAGTAACAATCTGTAGAAGCTTTCTGGGTAGAAATGCTTTGCTTTATGCAAATAAAAAGCAAAGAGAAAAAGACATGAAGTCTGCCACTCTCTTGCATTATGTGAGTTCAGGAAGGGAAGGGCTCCTGTTTTGCCTTGGCGTGTCTCATGCCACTGCGCATCCTGGAGATGATTCCAATTAGAATTTGTCTCAGTTTGAAATACGAAGACCACGAAGGTAAACTCGCCACTATTAGCTCTCTATAGACGTGTGGCATTAGGCAAGCTATTTAATGTATTGTGTACTAATTTTTCCTGCTACGTACTTACCGTTTACATTGCGGGAGTGTCCAAACATGCCTTGTGCTGTATGAATGTGGTAGGAGGGCAGCACTCTACTAAACAAACATTACAGATGAACAGAAAAGGCCATGGAGTGATAGATTGCAACTGTGTGTCAGAAGGGTTGACAGAAGGATCAAAGTGAGAAACCACCACTTACCTCACTAACCTCATGTGTTTGAATGATGTCCGTATGATGCTTTTTCTGCCCTCCAGTTTGTTTGATGGGCTTTGTCTTATCTAATCTAAGCCGTTTAAACACAGACATCAAATCTGTTCGCTGAGCATCTTCTGTAGTCAGTGCAGAGACAGGCAGCTCAAGAAAGTGATTCATCCCACTTGCCTGAGACATCTGTCTCAGGATGGGATGAGTTGCTTAAAGAGGGAGTCAGACACCTAAAATTAAGAGTGATGGACCTCATCTTCATTTTGAACTTCTTGCTTCACGCTGCTTCAATTTTCTATATTTAATCTGGTGTGATAGCTTTTGTGTTGTGCATAATGCTTGTAGGTGCTTCTTAAAATATTCCTTATGTTCAGCCTGATTTTTGCTTTGCTTGTTAAATTTGGATTATTATTTCTGTTTTCCCTCAATCTCCCACATTGTTTGGTTTAATGCTACCATGCTTGTTCCCTGTTCGCAAGCATTTTTGACATTTAACGTGGTTCTGGTTGTTTCACTCTGTGTGTGGGTGTGTGTTTCATTGGTAGGTGGTGTTAAGGGTGATGAAGAAGTTCTGAAAAATTGGGAATAGCCAGTGGAGGAAGAGGAAGAAGACGGTGGTGGGAGAAGAGAACAGAAGGCATGAGGAAAGGGAGACATGAAAAACCAGATACATAGATGAAAAATTAGATGTGAGCTCTGGCAGTATGCACTGGCAGCCCAGAAAGCCAACCGTATCCTGGGCTGTATCCAGAGCAGTGTGGCCAGCAGGTCGAGGGAGGGGATTCTCCCCCTCAACTCTGCTCTGGTGAGACCCCACCTGCAGTGCTGTGTCCAGCTCTGGGGCCCCCAACGTAAGAAGGATATCAACCAGTTGTAACAAGCCCAGAGGAGGCCACAGAGATGCTCAGAGGGCTGGAGCACCTCTGCTATGGGGACAGGCTGGGAGAATTGAGCTTGTTCAGCTTGGATGAGAGGAGGCTCCGGGGAGACATCATTGCAGCCTTCCAGTACCTAAAGGGGGCTACAAGGAAGCTGGAGGAGGACTTTTTACTTTTTACCAGTGCCCGTAGTGACAGGATGGGGGGCAATGGTTTTAAATTGAAAGCAGGTAGATTTAGATTAGATTAGATATCAGGAAAAAATTCTTCACAGAGAGGCTGGTGAGTCACTGGAACAGGTTGCCCAGAGAAGCTGTGGATGCCTCAGCCCTGGAAGTGTCCAAGGTCAGGCTGGATGAGGCTCTGAGTAACCTGGTCTAGTGGAAGGTGTCCCTGCCCATGGCAGGGGGAACTAGATGGTCTTTAAGGTCCCTTCCAACCCAAACCGTTCTGTGATTCTGTAAGCAAACTAGGGCCTGCCAGCATCACAGATAAAGCAGATGACAGTAAATGTTACTAGTGTGAATTTGTTGCTCAAGGGTGCTGCTTTGGGAACATACAGCTGTGTTGGGACCTTAACAGGCTGTAAGAGTCAGACGAGGTATTGACACGGTATTTGAGAACTGGGGGATTCGCTTTGTTGGGAGAGCTTTTACTAGGACCGGGTATGTGGTGGCACCTGTGCCTCTCTGGAGTCTGACAGCATGGACCTCCTGGAGTGTTCATTAGTGAACATTCATAATGTGCCTTGAGATGAATGGAGGCAGATGAGCTCAAGTGTCGCTCTGTTACAGAACCGCCCATCCCAGAGGCTATCATTGCCGTCCACGGAGGATGCAGCCTGCAGCACCCCTTGCACATCAGCACATTTGCAGCTTGAGGGTGATAAACAGCTTTTCCTGTGGAGCGTTGGTTGGCTGCTGCGGTAGTACAGCTCAGCAGCATAGAGTAACAGGCAGTAACACCTAAGTCAATTACCAGGTCATCTTTGAGAGTTCACTTTTCACTGAACCTCGGCAGCACCTTTGCAGAAGGTGTTGTGTAGAGTTTTTATATCGTGGCCATATTAGAAGGCAGCATCTCCATCATTCTATTTCAAGTTGTGTGCCATCAGGAACACGCTTGGTATGTTTAATGTACGTGTGCTAGAAACTTTTGGTATACGGAAGAATGATAAATGTCACCTGTCTTATATTTTAGTCAGGAGGCTTTGCATCCATCTTCAGTGAAGACATGCCACAGGTAAGCTGATGTAGTGCTCTATGCCTTAATTAATAAGTATTTTTTCAAGAGTGACTGTATCCCTAATCTTAGTGTTGTCCTAGAACATATCAGACTGCATTTTCAATATGTTCCCTTTCCTTCATGAGGAGGCTTACAAGGATTTATACATAAAAAGAATTTGATGTGTAAGATGCCATTACCTAATGTATATTATGGCTTATTTAAATAAAATAACCAGAATCTAGTAATGGGAAATGACAGACAAACGTAACTATTGGCATTACTGTGTGCATATGACAGAAAATGTGTGCTCTGCATGTGTGCGCTCTGCGTTGTACACAAACACAAATGCGTCTTTGGCAAAATCACAAGACCCGTGAGGTCAATGTAAAACTCCCACTGATTTGAATGAGGCCAGGATCTTATCCCATGTGTTGCTTACCATTTTTCTGAGCATTAAGAATCCATCATAGCCAAACTACAGTTTGCTTATTTTTGTTTAACTATTCCAGAGCAGAGACCAAACGAGCAAGGATGAAAGCTTCAACATGTTGCATGCTTTAATTTGTAACAAGAACTTTCTTGTTACTCTCATTCACACCCTTGAAAAGCAGAAAAATTTCTCTGTGAAAGACAGGTATAGTATGATTATGCTTATCATCTTCAAGACAAAGAATTAGCAGGAGAAAACAACATGGATTGTTACACAAATGTAATTTCTACTTCTTGCAAAAATAGCTTGCCTTACTCCAGACCATTTTTCCATCTTCTCCATCTGCACACACTGAGGAAGAAAGAACATTGCTATTAAAACAAGCCATTAAAGAGAAATCGGAACGTTTGTACATGTAAACAAAGAGGCAAAGGAGCGGGAAAACTCACTTCAAAACTGTAAACACTTCCTGCAGTTAGGTCAGCAGCTCGATGGTTTAGAAACGTTCTGTCACTGAAGCAGGTGTTGTTCTGCAGAATTACATTTAGAGACACAAATTCTGTGTTTAAAAAAAAATCACAACAGCAGATGGACTTGCATTTTTTCTATTTTGTAGACATCAGTGGACAGTTTCTGAGGGAAAACTTGGGATATGAACTGCACTAAAGTCTGTTTCATTTATTAAAGATGGCTGGGAAGAGAAATCCCAAATATTACAGCATTCTTTTGTTTCTTTCTTTCTTTCTTTTTTCAACAGGTGCTTGTTTGCATCCTTCTTGACTATTGCACTACAAACTAAGCTAGTTTATCTAACTCATATTTTGGAAGTGTTGACGAAGGACCTGATGGAGCAATCAAGCAATGTGCAGCCTAAGCTCCTGCTCAGGCGAACTGAATCTGTGGTGGAAAAATTGCTGACAAACTGGATGTCCGTCTGCCTTTCTGGATTTCTCCGGGTACGTGGACCTCTTTTCACTATATAAGATACACAAAGAAGTTTTTTTGAACTGGTTTCTTCCATAAGAATTGTTAGAGGAATCAGCTTAAAGCATTCAATCGACTTCTGACATTATCCACGGGCACTCTTCTAGTTTAGGTGACCTAGCTCTCGTCAAGGGGACGTAGGAAAAGAGCACGTCTGTAAGCAATTATCATGTCATTTATTTGGCTGAGATTTGGGTAATTTTGCAACGCTAGCATATCCGTTTCTCGTGTCAGACATTATTTCATCTCCCTGAGATGTATTGTGGTCATACTACAAGACTGGCACACTTTTTACAATGCAGCTGTACCTTTCTATGGAGGCTGTTGGAAAGCTACCATGTAATGGAGATTTAAGGAATACCATCTTTTGGAAAACTGAACTTCTTTTCAAACTTTTTTAACCCTCAAACAGCATCGCACATTTCAAGAACTGAACGGCTTCAAGTGGAAACAAAATAAGCATTTTCTTTTATTTTACTGTTTGTTTATGTTAGCCCACTTCATAGCACCTGGTTCTTGGTTTCAGTGCTTGGTTATGCTTCCTGTCCCTTACCAGTGTGGTGGCATCGCAGTGTTGTATCACTCATATCAGTCCTAGCACTTGCCACTAATACAGCAGCAAAATTGTCTGAGGCTCAGCAGCTCGCACCGGTTTCCTGAAACCCCAGGAATGGGCCAAGGAAAGGAAATGATCTGTTCTCGGTACACCAGTCATCTTTACAGAGCTGTGCTAGTGAGACGCTTTAGTCGGGCTGCAGGAATGGTGTCATGTGGAAACAAAGATCCATCCTCCCTTTCTGAGGTGCTTGCCTGAAGCCTGGGGTCCAGGCAGGAGAGGGAAGCCCCAGTTTCACTCCCTCTTTCGCTGATACAGCAGTGTATGTCTCACCACCTCGCTCCCAAGGCTTTTTTTTGGGGACAGCGTGAAATTAGTTATTAGCTTGAGAAAGCTGAAGAACACATGTGAACACATGCCCGTCTCGCTCCTCGCCAGCTCTTTGGTGGAAGAAAAGGCCTAGGAATCGTCTGCCGGGTGGAGCAGGAGCAGCTTGTCTGTAGCGTGCTTGTGCACAGCAAGGCTGTGAGCCATCTTGCCACGCTCCAGCTGTCCCTGGGTATTCGCATGAGACTTTCACACCGTAAAGCAAAGGATGGAGGCTAAACAAATAACTAAATAAGTCTGCTCAGAGGGATTTTCCTTTGTAATTGCAAGATACCAAGTTAGTTAAAAGGAAATAACTCAATTCTTGCACTTCGTTTTTTTCTAGTTATTCAAGCCCGTTTAGCGATTACAAAAATAAACGTGTTCCTTGTTTCATGTCCTAGGAGACAATTGGTGAACCTTTCTATTTGCTTGTGACAACCCTCAATCAGAGGATAAACAAAGGACCTGTTGATGCGATAACCTGCAAAGCCCTGTACACGCTTAACGAAGACTGGCTGCTGTGGCAAGTCTCGGAATTCAAAACAGTGGTATGTTTGCCAGTTTGTGTTCCCTCCGAACACCGACAACTGCAATGTTTTCTCGTTTTTTTAGGAAGCTAAATTAAGGCTCGTAGGCACTAAGGTGATGGTTAAGTACCCAGATAATAAAATTGTTATTGCTGACAAAGTTTCAAAATGTGATGGAGTTTAACTAGCTGGTATTTCACCAACAGGCATTTCACAAAGAGCGCTCACTGCTCATTTCACAGCGTGCCTCCATCACCAAAGGTTAGGTTTAATGAAGTCTTAGGGTATTAAAATTCCTTCTTATTTTAAAGTGTACTACAAAAATATAAACATATGCTTAGAATTTAAACTAAATCACACTTTTCCAATGAATGCAAGAATGGAATGCAGAGATTTTATTTTCCTATTGTGTTTACTTGTGGCTAATCTGCAGGCAGCAATAATTTGCTGTGGGTTTCCATGTCAGTAGCTCCAAATTAGCAAGGATACAGTGTGGTGGATTTTAATTAGTTCCTTGGTTAAAAGCAAGGTATCTGGTAAGCCTAGCTAAGTTTCTGAAGTTGACCATAGGTTTCTTGGCTTTATCAAAGCAGCTACAAAGTGCTCCCTATCTTACAGTCACACCCAGAATTCTTTGAGAGCTGAAATTCCCTTACTGATTGCCATTCTGAAACCGAGGGCAGAAGGGACGGCAACAATTATTGCACTTCGGAGCATGTAAAAATTGTGACTTTTTGAGGGGGAGATATGAAAAATTTTTCAGAATAACCAGAGTACTTTTTTTTCGGAATCTCCCAATGATTTTGAGTCTGAGGACTTAAAATTCTGCATTTCCAGTCATTTCCATAACTTCCTTCTTCTTAACTCCTGGCGTCGTATTGGAGTTGCTAGACAGGAGTGTGAGAAGTGCGACTGTATAGTGGGTTTCAGAGCTTGGGAGCAGAAACTGTGAGGGCAGCAGCTGTCATGGCAGGGACCCTACAACTGCTGGTGGCTTTGGGGGACAATTCAGGCCTTTTCCGAGCCTGTACCCTGAGCCTTAGGTAGGGCTGGAGCTTCCAGGTCTGCCCATTTTCCGTTTTTGCAGCAAGAACCTGGAGGTCCTATGATGCCACATCCTGGAGTAGACTATATGACCCTGGGAATGTTGGCTGGTCAGCAATCCATTGGACTTCGCTCACTGAGTCATGTAGGAAGCTCACTGAAATGACAACCCTTCTGTGAAACATTTCTGAATGGTCATTTTCTGCTGAAAGCTCTTGGACTGACAAATGTATAGCCAAATCTTCTTAGAGCTGTTTACAAAGCTGCTGTTGGAGGGTTCTTTTGAAGGTACGTCAAGCTAAGTTCCCACAGCATGCATTTGGAAGGGAGGTTTATGAGTAAAAATTAAACTTATAATGTCGTATCTTTGGTTTCCTTGTTTGTGTGCTGCATTCTGGCATGCGTTTGGGCTCCAGGGGAAGTTTAACTGATTGTTATATATAGCCATAGGATAGAAAACCCAGTAGTTATGCAGAGCAATAATTTTCGGGCAAGCTCAATATGCCTGTTACCAGTAGACTGCGCAGGAACATCTGGTCCTGTGGAATTGATTGACTTTTCTTATTTATAGCACAAATTCAAATTGAGTGCACCTTCGGGGGATAGCTGACTCTGAAGCTGATGAACACTGCCTTAAATACTTTTCCTAGCACTACTTCTATGCATGCAGTTGCTGATAGGGTCTTGTGGGCAGTCTGCAGTGAACAGGAGAGAGGGGAAGTGGTCTCAGGACTCGGTATCAGTGGGGAAAACTGTCTGCGGATGGATGAGGAAGTGAGAGAGCAGATAGCCGTTCTGGATGCCGTTTGCTGCCTTTGTTCTTTGTATTCTTGCTTTTAAATGGGAGATACTGATACTGTTATGGAATTGATAAGTCAACTTTCCCTGATAAGGTCCAGCAGTATATTTGACTTAGTTGAGAAGTGGCTTGAATGTTCCCTTTAAAACTGCCAGAAAAAGAGAGAGGGTCCTGCAGTGAAATTATGGAGATGAAGCCCAAGGAGTCTGGCTGGACAGAGAAACAGTTTTGTTTGGTGTTTTGTCTAAGTTTTACGCTGGAAAATAAAACTCTGTGTGAAAGAGATATAGGTGGAACAAGGAAACTTTCTGGGCTGGGGAGCAGTCCAGCCGTGCACTCTTTCTCTTCAAGCATAGCATTTAGCAGGATGCTGAGGTGGTAGGATCCAGCTTTTCTTCTCTCACTAACACCACTTCGCATGCACTGCAGTGACGTGCAGGACCCGTGAGCACACAGACAAGAAACCAAGTATTTTCTCCTTTCTTTGGAAGAAAATTTCTCCCTAAAGGATCACAGGTTTGGTTTTCTAAATGGAATAAATTCTGAGCTGATTTTTCAAATGCAGCTGCACATTTGCTCACTGCAGTTAAATTCTGAGTCTTGCAGTATTTTGTCGGTGTTTTATTTTGTCCCTTTCCACAGCCCCATAATAGCAGTACAAAAGCCTACTTGTCCAGAGCAAAGTATAGAAACATAGACAAAAAGAGGGTGATAGAAAGATACTGAAGCACATGTGCAGATACTGAGCCTTCAGAGTTTTAAGGTGTGTAGGCACTTGAAGACTCAGGGATGTATCTGGTAGGGAGTTCAGCTCTCAGCACAAACAAGGCTGTAGGGAATCTGCATGCGAATGTCTCCGTTCAGGATTGGGACTTGAGTTCCAAAGCAATAAAAGCAGGATATAAACAGGATCCTAAAAATCAAGGAGAGCTCTACAGGTCTTCATCTAAACACACTGCTCTGCAGATAAACTCTTGGGGCAGGAGAAGGAAGAAGCACTGAGCACAGAGAAAGAAGGAAAGACAGGAGATATTGTCTAAAATTCAGGCCATTTGTAGCAAGGAAAAATGAGAACTAAGAAACATTTTGGTTTTGAATTGTATTAGAGCTGTCCCTTGGCTGGGCCCCATGCCTTTTGTAAAAAGACCACTGACCTTGAGGCCAGCCAGCGCCTACTGTTACCACTCTCAGCTGGAAAGGATCAGATATTGAACAGAGATGGGCTGCTGAAGTAAATACTCAAGCAGAGGAATTGAAGGAAAGATGCTTCTAAAAGCATTGGTCCAGGAGGAGCTGAGGAGCTGTGAGTTTCACGCTGTGCTTATATTTGAGTTTTGAGGAATAAAACAGCCTTGAAAGAGGCTTGGATGTGTCCTGGAGCCTTTGGGCAGGCTGGGGAAGCCAGCCTGCTTTCTCACAGAGCAGCAGCTGCACCCCTTGGTGGATAATTTGCTCAATGACTGATGAAGAAGCGCGGTGCACAGCTGAGTGTTAGCATTTCACTGAAGTGATTCATTTTAAATAGAAAAGCTACACAATGCAAGCCTGATGTGGGAGTTCTCAGTTAAATCACGACAAGCATCTCCTGTGAGAAACCAGGGGAGGCCTCTTTATGTGGTAGACTTGGTGCTCAGGCAGTTAAGAGCTACGAACTTCTTCTCAAGAAGTTTATTTGCTTCCACTGCTTTTTTTAAAACAAGGGTTTGGGCTGTTGAAATCTTTGCTGAAGTGAGTTTGTGTTTTTAGATGGGAAGATGTGATCTAATTCACCTGTTCAGCCAACAGCCTTTTCTTGAAAGTGAAGCAAAGCTGCGTGGTAGAAGGTTATTTCAAGTGTTCAGCTGCTTTGTGACTTAAAAGAAGGCTGTTAAAAGTGTGGGAGGGCTGTTAGGGAGTAAAGCAGAGACGGGGAACCCAATTTCCTAATAATACACCAATGGTTGTGGTATTACTAGGTGCCCTTTGTGAGAGAGAGGGAAGCTGTTAAAGGCATGTGACATAGGGGGATTTTTGTCAGCAGAAAAGGACAAAGCAGCCCTTGCTGGGATGCAAGCGATGCAGATGTTGGCTGCAGGAGAGTCTTCTGAATTAGGTACAGCTCGAGTTGCATACTGTAGCGTCGAGAGCACGACCCATGCTTTGCATAATGCCCATCTAGCCTAAGTTGAACCCCTTTAACATTTTCTGTGCCCATTTGTTAGCTGTTCTATAACCTCTTGATGGGTAACGGTCTGGCTGCTACAGAAGGGTCACACAATCAATCTGATTTTTCCTCTTTATTGTACTTCATAGTCTGGGAGACAGGCGAGAGGGTTAGAGGCAGTTCTGTCGTGCTGTACATCATGGTGCTGTCTCCTTTACGTGAATTCTCTAACTTCTCCCAATCAAAAGTTTTTGTTGTTTTGCCAGTCTGTCGGATAAATGGAAATAGGCTTTGTTCAGCTGCATAGCTGAATACAGAACAGAGTAATGAGCAAGAGCCCTTGAATATCCTAGATGATTTTTCTTTACTTCTAAGAAAATATGGTATTATCACATTGCTTTGTTAAACCACATCTCATTTATTATCTGCTGTGGTTATTAATAGCTTTACTAAATAATTCATTGTTTGAAATTCATTTCCAAGAGAAGTACAAATCTGAGAAGCCATCTGTAAACATTGTCATCAAGTATCATTGTTTCTGTCACTGCACGAGTGAACAAATGGTTTTCAAATTTGTTCCATCTTCTAGCTAGGTTCCAAGCTGCTTCCCATACAAGTAGTTGCAGATGCTTCCCTTGCTCTCCTTAAGTAGCTTTTAACAATTCTTGCGACCTGTGTTAAGCCTTTGTTGAAGAGCACTGTGTCTTTGTGTTGCTAATCACTAATTATTTCTAGGGCATGAAGTTTCGACTCTAGATATTACTAGGTTGAACCACATGTCCTGTAATTTCCTCCTGAATCTTGCCTAAAACTACCTCCTGTTTTTGTTTCCTTTGCAAAGTGAGGGAGCTTAGAAAACGACCTGATGATATTTCCTTGTGACTTCTATGTGTGCTCCTTTCTCTTAAATGTTTTCTGACCTTCAGAGCTGATCACCCAAGGGCTTTCGTAATTTTACAGGCATTTCTGATTCTTTCTGGAGTTCGACACTTCGTGCCTAAATGTAGTGATTGTGACTGTCAGCTTCTGATTAATGGTTTCTAAAGCCAGGGATTGTGCTGTCAGACAGGTTGAATCTGATTTATGAAAACTTCAGCTACAGAGAGAAGACTTAATAATAATTGGCTTTCCTAGCTCCTCATCAATTGCTTCATCACTTAAGATTAACTTCTGCAGCAAATCCTGTCAGCAAGACTGTACGGCTCGCCTGGTTCAGAGACTTCCATGTGTTTAAATATTTCTTCACGTCTGACCACTTCTTCCAGTTGTAACGTGTTGCATCGTGGACACTTTTGGTTAAGGAGTTCATAAATTACTTATACTCCACCTCCATAAAGGGCTACTTCTCCTTTTTACAGTCCTGCCACCCTCCAGTGAGTCGAGCGGGGATGGAAGGGCTCTCGCATGCTAATAACTGAGAAGGCTGCACATTTATGTGCGATCTGTGTGAGAGCATGTGCTGAAGAGGAAATGCAGCAGAGAAAAAGAGAGTTTTTCTCAGCAGTCTGAAAGGAAGAGGAAATGTAGGAGAAGCAGCAACATGAATATTGCAGTGTAGAAATAATGTTAGGAGGAAAAGATCAACTAAAGGAAGGAATGCTTCCAAGGATGTAAAGGCAAATCAACATCAGTTAGAGTGTGAGTAGCTACTCCAGAAAGATCAGTTTGGAGAGCAAAAGAGACCAAGACTTTGATTTGACTTTCCGAAGACAAAATACAGTTAGTCCCTGTCCAAATTTTTATCCTACAAGACCATGACCTCGGGGTGATCAAAGTCAAGGACAGGACTGCTGTCTGTTCGGTCGGTCTGTGGGCCTAACCAAGCATGACTCCCTCATTCCTGTGCCAATATATTTTTTTACTAATTTTCCGCATGAAATCCCAACCTGAGGCATGGTACCCAGCCTGCTTCTCCTTCTGCAGGCACCATTCCCATATCTCCTCCTCTTCCATTCTGTTCATCCTGTCCATGGATTCATTTTCCTCACAGTTAAACATCTCAGTGTCCTGATTAAGTTATTCTCAGGTACCTCAGTTATATTATAGTCTTTGTTAAATCCCCATCTTTATGGTTTTGCAACCCTGTTTTTAATACCCCTTTTGCTTCCGTAGAAACAGTGAAGTTAATTTGTATGTCACTGGACTACTTTTTTTCACCACCAGTGTGTCATAATTTCCACTCTTGCTGGGTAATAAAGCAGAAAATAGCATTTTACAACTCTTAATAACTGCCCATTTTTCTAAGAAGAGAGAAGAGTTGTCCCTGCAGAAAACTGGACATAGGTTCTTTCCTTCACATGACAGCAGGGAAAGAACTTCTTTTAGTTGCTTCCTCTTTTAACGATCAGTCCTTCACTGAGGCACACCTGCAGCTCACTCATTTCAGCCCAGAGATATGTATTATACCAGAAATCTCCAGCAGCCAGAATGGTTCGAGTACGTAGATTTTCCCGCGCCACTCGCAGTCGAGTGCTGGCGCCTAAACTACTTGTTTTAATTCTGCCCCGAGACACCTCCCGCAGAACATCTGTATCCGTGCAGCGGAACGGTGATTTCTCTGCAAGGAGCAGGCTGCGGCACTGGAAATGATTGCTGTTGTTGCTCAGCACTAGCAGTTCTGTGCTCCTCCCTTTTTACCTGCCTTTTGGCAGTCGATCTGCCTGACCTGACCAGAAATAGGGCCTGACTGAAAGCATTCCCTGGAGATGGTCACCTGGTCCCATCGGCACCTCCCTCTAGGCCGTACTCCCCTTGTGTGCAGCCTGGCAGCTGAACCATGTCCCGGCTAAGAGCAGCCGTGAGCTAAAGGGCAGGGGCGTTGTATATGGACAGGCTGTGTGGGTGTTTGACCTGCAGTAATAACTAACAGCATAAATCGCACTCTTCCGTGCAGATCTGGGCCCCTTTGGGTTCCACCTGCTGCAGCACACTTTCCCTTTCCACTGCTCCGGCAGAGGTCCTGTCCGTGCTGCCTCTAGAGAGACGGCTGTGTGCAGACAGGCCCTGATGTCTCCAGGGGCGGTGTGCTTTCTGGTATGATAATAAGGCACTCAGCATAATCTGCTGGTGTAAATATGCATTTTAACATTGCTTCCTATCCACTCAAAATCAATCACGCTTTCCATGACGACTTACTTAGCAACCTTATTAGATCTCTGGTCGTTTACAGTTTTGCTTATAAGGCATTCATTTTAAATCAAAGACCTGCTCTTTTTTTTTTTTTTTTTTTTTAAATAGAACATGCATTGTAATTTTTCCTGGTCTCCTGTCTTTTTTTGGTAATTCAGTGAAACAGATTTGCACAAAAGCAGAATGCAAAATACACTTTTGGAAATATATAGCTATATGTCTTTGATTCTTCAGACATGAGGAATTCTAAATGCTTCATTGTGTAATTCCTTCAGATAATCTTTATTTGAAATAGCTTTAATAATATATACGCACCAAATCTCTCAGGCTTGTTGTCAGGAGTGTGTAGGTTTCCCATGCCAGCTGTTCCCTGTAAGTCAGAATAACACGTGTTTCTTTCCCCAGACAGTGAACGTTATCTTTGAAAAAATCCCAGAAAATGAGAGTGGAGATGCCTGTCAAACTATCCAAGTTAATGTTCTGGACTGTGACACCATAGGCCAAGCCAAGGAGAAGAGCCTTCAGGCTTTCCTTAATAAGAATGGCTTTCTCTACGGTCTTCAGCTGGATGAAATTGGTCTTGGTAAGAGTGTCACTGTGGAGCGTATTTCCCTGTGAGTGCACTGGTTGCTCTGTGGAGTTTTCTTGTTAGGAATTCCTACCTTTGGCTTTGATTATTTTTTAGCGTTTAGGCAGAACATAGCTTTTGTAAGGAATTTCTAGGGAAATACTAGATCATTTATGGACCACTGGAACAACATTTGCTTCACTTCTGCAAGGACTGCAGCATGCAGCTTACAAATGTGTTATTTATTGAACACGTATACCTTCTGTGTTCCTTTTCTGGGTTAACCTAAAGACAGCCAGTTGATAAATTTTGTCAGCAGGTAAGATGACACATCATGATTACCAAGTACTTTAGTCACTACCTACTACCCCTCCTTCCGCCCTTCCTTCCAACGTTTCCATTGATCAGGAGAACCCACAAATACAGTTTATTTACAGTCAGAATTGGTTTGTATAGCAGTTCGCATGTGACTCGCAAAGGTACGTACAGTACCTACAGATGTAAATAAGGCTGTTCCAGCAGATGAGTCGAGCCACCTTTTCCTGTTGGGTTGTCAAGAGCCCAAAGTCAGATAAAGCCTGTAGTTGCCACCATACCGCTTCCCACACGCTCCAGTAGGAAATCTAACAGACTCTGCATTGTTGGCATTTGTCACCTCCTGGACTTGCTCTCTAAGCTGTTGGTACTTCTTCACCTTCTCATAGCTATGTCAGCAAATGATGACCGTTTGCTTTCATATCTGATGTTTTATATCCACTGCCAGTGCCTGACCACCCTTCACAAATACCGTGTCAGTCTTGTACAGCTCATTCTGGTGATCTCTTAGAAGTGATTGTGACACCTTTCCTCTAGTCCCAGCGTGGCCGTAGTGCCAGGGCACGCTTGTGCAACAGAGTAGTTAGACTGGCACCTCCAAAGACTCTGCCTTGGCCAACACGAAGTGAAGCACCACTAGCTTGCAGTAATGGAAGCCACCCAGGTGTCACCCATGAAAAAGAACCTGTAGTTTGGGAGTGTAAAACCACTCTCATGTGACCTGCAAACCTCTGTACAGCGAGAATGCCACTGGGATATAATCGTCTGCTGTTGCTGTCGTACTGCAGAACTTGCGTCGGAGGAGCAGCAAAGAGAATTGTTAGATATCGATGGTTCCTCGGAGGTGATGGAGGATGGCATAAGGAAGCTGAATACCATCGGTCATTATGAGGTAAGCACGGAAGCCATACCAGTGAACTGAGAAGCAGTTTCTCCCCAGCTCCCAAATGCTGTCTGTGCACAAGTATCTTGATTGATCAGGAGATAGCTGAGCATCATCAACAGAAGGAAAGAAATGTGTGGCACACCACTTTCTTGCCAGTGAGTCATATGTTTTCTGCTACTTTTCAGAGGTTTGCTTGTTGCAGGGTTGCTTGGTTCAAGCCTACCAGGTAAACTGTTACTTCTGTTGGGTATTCAGTTAAAACAGCATCTGATTTCCAGCTATGAACATTGCCTTGAGTCTTTTCTAGTCTCTGCTGCTGAGCTTTTGTTGCACCATGAGCGATTGTTTACCTCTTCCCACCTCGTATTTTGACTGTCTGGACAGGCAGTAGTGACACTTGTGAAAGCTCACTGAGCATCCGAATAAAAAGGACCTGAGGAGTTTGCTCACTCTTCTCTTGACATCTCCTGTGTCACTCCCCTTCCTGTTTTTTTCCCCTCTTTCTGTTTCCATCTACTGCCGCCACTTGTACCGTAAGGCTTCCCCTCCGCTTCCAGTTGCACCTGTAAACCAGCCCTTTCCACACTGCACTAATCTGGCCTTCAGCCCCATGGCACACAAGGCTGCAGCCGGCGGCAGAGCCCTTCTGGGTGAGGCGCACTGCAAAGGCATAGCAAGCGGCGTCACCTGCCTAAGGAGTCGCCACGGACACAGGCAAAATTGAGGCTGAGAGGCTGGGGTGAAATGTGCTTGGCCTCAGGTGATAACAGTAGCTCACAGTCGGATGCTTGCAGGTGGATTTTGGAAGTGAGGTTAGTATGCTGAGTGCTTTTGGTGAGCTTGGCATTGAATTTGGAAGTCTGGCTCTGGAAATGATAATTGGGTTTCGTTTATGTAAAGTTTTGCTGGTGAGTGTCGGTCTGTGCCATGCAATGCTGGATGGTGCAGAGAAACCTGAGCCAGCCCTGAGCGCGCTGCTGTCTGCACCGTGCCGTCCACAGAGAGGAGCAAGGACTCGGAGCAGGGCTCTTTGCAGCTTGGACAGGCTGCTCAGAAGGGGAGCAAGCTCATTTGGAGTGGCTTCACAGCTTTCCTTGGGCGACTGTTGCTCTCCTTACCTCCTGGGCAGGCACCGGCGAACGCAGATGGCCTGAGTCACCATCCCCTGTCTTAAATGCAGGTTTTCCTGTCCCTCTCTTGAGTCTTGTCTATAGATGAATGTGGGACTTCCTCCACTCCACTGGTAAAGGTTTTGTACAAATTAGGACATCGTAGCGCTGCAGTCAATCTCTGCAGCAAAGGTCAATGGAGATTTGAATCTGATGAGGTGTCTGAAGTTCTCTCTGATGTGACAGCGCCCGCCCTCTTCACTACAGGCACTACAGGCGAGCACTCCCTGATTTTACCTGGCAGCCTTTTCGCCCCTCCTGAGCTCGCGGCCTGCTGTGGCACATGGGTGCTGTATCTTGTGGCAAATGAGCCTGCTCCAGTCGGCTGCTGCCATCCCTGGGCATCTTTGTCCCAGCCCTTGTTTACGTCTGAGGTTTCTGCAGGCAGATGCGAGTTAGGCTGGAGGTTCGGTTGTTTTTGCAAAGCTGTAACTACACTAATTATAGCTTAGCAGCTGCCTTATGGAAATTGTGATGGGTATCTCTGTTAGATATTTTAGTTCACTTTTTCTGACACTGAAAAATAGCGTACTTTTTGTGCAGAAGGTTAGTGGCATTTTAAGCAGTGGCTTAGCAGCGAGTATCAGACATTAGTGTATCTGATTTAAATTCTTGTATGCATATTAATGCAGAAAGGAATGTGAAGGTGTCTAGTTTGGAAGAAAAAGAAATATTGCATAGACAGTGGGAGGGTAGTAAAGTTGCCTGAGGAATTCCAACTTCATTTCAACCTAGAGTTTTATGGTAAGCCTGATTTTTTTTTTTTTTCTTTTTTTTAAATGCTAGAAAGCCACCAGATTTTTGAAACTGGGAAGTACCATGCAATCTTTTTAAGATACTGGAGCATGAGGGTTGTGCTGTAAAGGTCCCAGAATCACCAGTCACTCTTGAAAAAGCAGGCTTAGTTTCCACACTGATTTTTAAAATGTGCAAGCAGGTGATGTTTGCGTGGTGTTTCTGAAGGGACTCGTACTGTACTCTTAGACTTTCATGTGTCTCTGACTTGTGTGCTCCTTTTGTTCTAATTTTTGCTCCTAGTAGGGTTACTGGTGTGATTATTTGTGTTTGTATGAGAATAACCACAAGCCTTGATAAGAAAGCTGCTGGTTATCACGATGTCCTATGTCCCACACAAGAAGAGCTAGAGAACTGCTTTCAGATCTGATGTCCAGTCACAGGTCTCCAACCTGTAGCAGCATCACATGCTCCAGGAGCAGGCACAGCCCCAGAGAGAGAATCTGAATGTGTGATCCAGGGAGCTCACTGGCAAGAACTGGGTTATAGGGAGGATGGGAGGCCTGGAGAACAAGGAAGAGGCGTAGAGCCACACTACTATACCTTCCGTTGTGCAAAGTAGCTGTACTCCGCATTGTGTGGATCTGAGCTGATCTCCCCTCCCCCTGTTTGTCCCCCTCAGTAACGCACCTGACAAAGACAAGACGTTTCGAGGTGCCCCTGGGAGCAGCCCACCGTGAAAAGGGATTTAGGCAGCAGGACACAAAACGAAGGGCTCTGGGTTTGGTTTTTTTATTGGATCACACTGAAAGAAACAGAAGTATGGCTGCTGCTGTAATGAAAAAGAAGGGAAAGCATAGTCCACTCAATGCTAAAAGCGTCATTTGTCCCAGAAATAAAAGCTGAAGCAGGGGTTGGACCATGGCTATGCTGCACCATGATCCTCCTTCCTGGAGGGAAGCACCGTTCTCCCTCCGCGCTCTGCCCACCTCCCTCAGGACAGGAGCCAACACGTTTTAGCAGTGAGCTGCTCTCCTGCTTCTGGGAGAGGGAGTGGAGGCGGCGTACTGCCCATACCGCTCTGGGAGGGGGTGAGCTGCTGTGTAGCCCTCTTCCTGTTTACCCATCTTCCTACCAAGGAGCAGGGCTCTCGGGGTGTTTGTGTCACCTCACGGGGTAGCCTGAGAGCATATACCCACTTGCAGTGTGGTTTGAAAGTGCTCTGTGTTATCTGAAGGAGTGCTGGAACACTGCATGATAAATGGAAACCCTGCAAAAAACTCATACTCATAAAATAGATTGCATTTACTTTCCAGGAGCAAGTGTAAGTGCCGATTTCTTTGGCGAAAGTCACAGCTTTTGATAAAGTATCTTAGTGTTTAAACTGGTTTCTCACACCAGGCTGGCTGCCAAGGTTTAAAAAACACTTAAATTATTTTGGCAGAGATCCCTTCCTAGAACTGGCCAGTTGTTTTTGTAATTACGGAGGGAAGTACACTAGCACTTGGCAAGACGCGGCGTTTGACAGCGGAGCAGTGGTGCGGTTCTCAGTGGGAGCTGGTTTTCAGTTACCCCCTGACAAGAAAAGCATGACTTGCCAGTTGCTTTTAAAGATAATAGTTACCATCCTGGCAGCACTAGAAATTCAGGGAAGGAGGGGGGAAGATTTTTTCCTAGAAATCCCAAGGTAGCTAGATACGGATCTTGACCTTATGGTCCACGGGGCATAACTATTTTGCTCAGCTTGAAAATAGTTCTTGGGAGCACCAGGTTAGACCCTCAGCGTGACCCCTCCATAGGGTATGAGCTGGGAGAAAGGGGGCCAGAAGAGAAAGCATCCTTGTGTTCCCCTCCCTGCCTCACCTTCCCGTAAGATCCTATTGTACTGGAGGCAGAGAATTCAGCCTGGGCCGTCTGTAGGAAGATGGGTGCAAGCAGCAGCGCGTGAAGATGTCCAAATCGGGGCTGAACCCCAAAAGTCAAAGCAAGGGAAAGGTCCCTTAGCGGCCTTCCCACAGTGCCCGGTAGGGTGAACAAACTGCAGCTGCTGCCTGTGCCCAAAAGCCCAGCTCTGGCTGCCTGCTGGGATCCATGCACCCTGTGCTGAGAATGAAGGGGATTTGCATGCTCCTGCACCGCTGCTGACTTGGGGAGAGAGGAAATGAAACTGAGGGTTCTGTGAATTCTAGACACTTGTTTCAGCATGGTATGTTTGTTTTTGCTTTCAGATTTCAAATGGAGACACCATAAAAGTCTTTAAAAAGAAGGCAAATACCCGATCAGGTAACAAAGGAGCTGCAACCTATTTAGTCTTTTGCAGAGAATGGGCTGGGAATGCAGAGAGCTGAGCTGTGACCGGTTGTAACGTGCTCAGTAGAAGGTCAGATGAATTGGCGCTTGGATATAGCTGAGCCCACCGAAGAGCCGTGTAACCCTGGCTCTGGGCCTCTGGTAGGCATGGGGGGTCTAGGTGGAGGGAAGAAGGCAAAGGAAAGGACAGAAGGACATACAGACAATAAATGCTGAAAGACAGAGACTCACAGGCAAGGAAAGCAAGGCAGGGATGCCCGGGGGACACAGAGTGCTGACTGGTGAGACCAACACAGGGAACATGCCCTGCTCTGGCACCCAGCTTGACTGTGTCTCTGAAAGCTTTGACTTGGCTGTCTCAGCAGCGGGTCAGGAGTTAAAGGGTGCTTACAAGGGGTCAGTTTGTCTCGCCTACCCCTGTGATACAGGATGCTCCAGCCCAGCTGGTGGCTCAGTAGAGGTGGCCTTTCAGTAGCCCTGGGGAGAAACAGGCACTCTTAGCGAGCGTGTCACCTCACCATCAAGCGGACATGTAAAGTTAGGAGAGATGTGGCCCTGCGGCGCAAGCCACTGGGTTGGCACTGCTCTTGCTCCATGAGAACGGGGTTGTCTGTTCCAGCCATTGCTTTCACGCCTGACCTCAGCCCCCATTGCACTGAGTACTCTTAGGGATGCGCTCATCCCGTCTGCTGTCAGTTGTCCTCCTCTCAGAGGAGCTGAGATTTGCTGCCAGCTACCCCCAGCAGCAGATGACGATGGCCCAGCTTAGCGGGCCGAGCTACAGGTGGGCAGCAGGGAGGTGAGCCAGGACCCGTGCAGTTCTGAGGCTTCCCCTGCACGGCAGGCAGGAAAGCATGATGCCGAGCCTGCGTGCTCGGCATCCTGACGTGCACCCCGCTGCACAGCATTGGCGAGCTGGTAGCCGTGTGTTTCGTTAATGCCTGTTTGCTCTCTGCTCTCTGTTGTTTAGACGTGGACTACTCGGATGAACACTGCCATTTGGTGAGTTCAGCCGTTACGCTGGTTAAGTGGTAGATTTAATACTGAGCTGTATTTATATCTCTGTAATCTCTCTAATCTCCTCACAACAGATTTTGCCAGACTCCGAAGCAAACAAAGATGTAAAAGGAGCAGGTCACAAAGGAAAGCAGAAATTCAAAGTGAAGGAAATGTATCTGACAAAGCTTCTGTCAACCAAGGTAAACCATGAAGGCCTTACTCTGGAGGAGGGATGGTGTTAGGCTTGGCTAGTTGGGCACAGCAGAAATAGAAGTTAAAGCAGAAATTACGCAGACTTCCTGCGTGTATATCAGATGTTAAATAAAAAGATAGCTGATAAAAATCACTGTGCAGACTCTGGACCGTGACCGTTTGCAAAGACCCACTTCAGGTTTTCTAATGCTACCATTCCAAGATTGCCTATTACTTGCACTCTGTATCTCCTTGGTAAGCGCCACCTTTTTTCTCAGGTTAAATAAAAAAAGGTGGTTATTGAGCTTACAGAAAGTGAGTTGGGCCACTGAGTCCCATAGAGCGAGAACGATCCCTTCTGGAGAGACAGCTTTCAGCCAACTATCTCCTCACTCTTTGCTAGACTTTGCCCAGCTTAGAGACAACTCCCAAGGCCCAGGTTTCACAAAATACTGCCTCTGAAATGAAATAATCTTTTAGGATCTCAAATTAAGCATCCAAAATAAGTAGATAAAGTTTAAAAACAAGGTCCTTAGGGTTTACAATACGATTACCTACTTTATACAATGCACATTCCTTAGGAATAAGCCTTGCTCCCTCCCTCCAGTAATGTCAGCTCGTTTCTGACTTACTCAAAAGGGATATAAAACTCTTTGCAACAGCATATTACTTAAAACATTAATCAGCGCACAACACTGAGAGCTGTGCGACACAAGAGGCCTGGAGGGATGATGATTGTGGCCTTCTCGCATTTAAAAATCTATCAATCATTATTTAATTAGCTTGTTGATAGCATCTGAAGTAATTTGGGATGCTACCCGAAGTGAGAGTGAAGACTGGTCATTTCTCATTAGCTGTGGAAACTAACATTAGCCCTTAGGAATTTCTGGAGTAAACCAGTAATATCTTAACGGTGGAGGACTGAAGTACAAAAGAAAAGATCAGGCTCTTATGGAACAGCCCTTTTAAAGGGCTTTAAATTAATCATCTCCTCCTCCAAAGTCAGATGGTGCTCTGAAGAACAGTGCTGTGATGTCCTTCACTGTGAAATTCCACCGCGCACTAAAGGGAATGGCACTGAACCCTGTCTCTTTCTCTCTCGTTCTCTCACCCATGCCTGCACCCAGACACAATTGCAGAGTTTGCTGCGTGAAATGAACTGCCCAGTAGTGCATCAAGGCCCTGGGACATGCTTAAAGCCTTCTTGCTGAGAGAAGATTGGGCTGAACTGAGCTTCAGCACAGATGTGAAGAAAAAAAGCACAAAACAGTGTTTTGCTGTCTTTGCCTGTACAAGATATCAGCGAGCCCGTCAGAACCAAGCCCTTGTTTTTGGGAGCCAAATAGCTTCACTTCTGCCTCAGAAATACCCAGTTTTCAGTTCTTCTCTCTAATATTAGTGTCTTTGTACACCACCCAAAGCTGTTATCCTAGAATTAGATCAAATGCCACAGTCACTTGGCTGTGACGCGTTGATGAGTATGTGCTCAGCGTGTGTTGCAGATGGCACCGTGAAGACCAGGGCCCTAGAGAACTGGTTGAACCTCTTCGGCTCACCTCCCTCTTGCTTCCAGTCACAAGATGCTCAGAGGGCTGGAGCACCTCTGCTATGGGGACAGGCTGAGAGAGTTGGGCTTGTTCAGCCTGGAGAAGAGAAGGCTCCGGGGAGACCTTATTGCAGCCTTCCAGTGCCTGAAGGGGCTACAGGGAAGCTGGGGGGGACTTTTTACAAGGGCCTGTAGTGACAGGAGAAGGGGTAACGGGTTTAAATTAAAAGCGGGGAGGTTTAGATTAGATATCAGGAAGAAGTGCTTCATGGAGAGGGTGGTGAGGCACTGGAACAGGTTGCCCAGAGAAGCTGTGGAGGCCCCATCCCTGGAAGTGTTCAAGGCCAGGCTGGATGAGGCTTTGAGCAACCTGGTCTAGTGGAAGGTGTCCCTGCCCATGGCAGGGGGGTTGGAACTGGATGGTTTGTAAGGTCCCTTCCAACCCCAACCATTCTGTGATTCTATGCTAAGTTCCAAACGCCTTCAGCAACCCTGCCATCAGTATGCCAAAGAGTTGATGCTGTCTTGGTTGGAATGAGCAATTCCTTCCACCTATGATCTATCCCAGAGTTCACCACAGTTCTCCTGTTGGTGAAGTGACAGACACGTGACATGTGAAAGCAGCTCACTGTGGTGTATTTGTACTTTTGGTTTCGTTATTGACTGTCTTGGTTGCCAATAAGTTACAGCCTGGATGTGTGCCACAAGTGTGCTGTAGCTACTGAGTGTGGTCGCCCTGGGGCACGCTCAGCTCCCTGCAACCAGAAATCCTTTTCTATGCTGTGTCATAATAGCGCTGTTCATCTTTGTGCTTTTCAGGTTGCAATTCATTCGGTCGTCGAAAAGCTCTTCAGGAGCATTTGGAGTTTACCCAACAGTAAAGCGCCTGTTGCCATCAAGTACTTTTTCGACTTTCTGGATGCCCAGGCGGAGAGCAAAAAAATTACTGACCCCGATGTGGTCCATATATGGAAAACCAACAGGTATGCCCGTGTGGTATGTGCAGGAGCGCGTGCGCCCTCTGAAAACGTAGCTGCAGAGGTGGAACGGGTCACCTGCGGTCAGGAGGACAAGATTTTGGCATGTCTGGGCGAGGGTGTGGTTGGGCTTCGTGGATCCCAGTAATTTTAGCGCATGGGTTGGGTACTGATAGAGACCACCACAGCTCCCAGGACTGCTCACTCTGCGTGCTGACTTCACACTCAGGAAGAAGTATCCGCAGGTTGCGAGCGTTATCTGGGGTTGGAGGGGTGACTGATGTGTTTGCTCTGGAGCCTTTGTTCCCTGATCCCGTTTTTAACAACAGCAAGCAGCCCAGAAACATGCTGCTTCCCAGGATGGCGGTGCAATCAAGCTGCAGCTTTAAAGCAGTTCTGCTGCCTGTGTAGTTAAAGATGCTTGTTCTTTCTCTGTCTAGTCTTCCTCTTCGCTTCTGGGTGAACATACTGAAGAATCCCCAGTTTGTCTTTGACATTAAGAAGACGTCACATATAGACGGCTGCTTGTCCGTAATCGCGCAAGCCTTCATGGATGCCTTTTCTCTGGCGGAACAGACGCTGGGGAAGGTAATGCTGCCCTTCCAGGCTTTTGCCCAACTCCCAACCCATGTCCTTTTCAGCGATTTAGGGGATGAAGTCCTGGATCTGCTGACACTGGGGGCAAAACCGTCAGTGGCCTACTTAAGCGGGGTTTCCATTCCTCGCTGCTCCATCTCAGGAGACACTGAAGAATTCCCTAGAGTGGGGAGATAGAATCATACAATGATACAATCACAGAATGGTTTGGGTTGGAAGGGACCTTCTTCCTGATATCTAATCTAAACTTTCCCACTTTCAATTTAAACCCATTACCCCTTGTCCTGTTGCTACAGGCCCTTGTAAAAAGTCCTCCCCAGCTTCCTTGTAGCCCCTTCAGGTACTGGAAGGTGCTATAAGGTCTCCCCGGAGCCTTCTCTTCTCCAGGCTGAACAAGCCCAACTCTCTCAGCCTGTCCCCATCGCAGAGGTGCTCCAGCCCTCTGAGCATCTTCATGGCCTCCTCTGCACTCGCTCCAACCGGTCAATATCCTTCTGATGTTGAGGGTTCCACAGCTGGACACAGCACTCCAGCTGGGGTCTCACCAGAGCAGAGTGGAGGGGCTACTAGAACGCCGTGTTTATGGTGAGCTGCTGCTCGTCTTCTCTGCAGGCAGTTTCTCCACAGTGTGTTTGTGAAAGATGTGGAAGAGGGTGGGAATTTTAGGATTTTAATGACGTTTTAATGAATCTTTAAACAAAGGTCTTGAAAGCGTTATTTGATAAGTAGCCCAGATGTTGTCTGCCACACACCAGCGTGCAGGAAACACACGTAGGGAGCTGCTGGGAGCTGAAAGAATACTTGCAAGAGCTCTGGAGTTTGGAACCGTTCCCCTCACATGTCTTCTTGTGGAGTGGAGATACATGCAAATTATTTGCTGCAGTAACAAGCCCAGAAAACTTACATTCAAAAGCTTTGTAGTACAGCGTCTGCAGCTCCGGGGATCGGAAATACTTTGGTTTTCCCGAGGATATTTTCCTTTTCTTTGGACCAAAGCAGGAGGCATTTGTTCAGACTGATGCTACCAAGAAAGACGGGCTAGAGACTTCTTAGCCTAAAAAACATTTCTATGAAAATGGACTAATTTCTTACATGATCTGAACCAGCTGCTCATCAGTTAGAGGTGAATTACAAATGATGAGCTTATTTATCTTATTTTAGGAGCAAAGTGTGATGAATTAAAACTAATCACATCACTCACTTGATGGAAAGTCTGCAAATGAGCACGGTCTGTTAGGTTTCCATGCTTAACATCCACTGGGAAGTACTGTCGATGCAACGGCTCCCAGGGACCGTTTCAAAAGGGATGCTGAAACCTGATAGAGTTTTGCAATGCAGTAAACCTTGTGTAGCCTTTTAGTACTAAATTGTATCGACTTTCATGATTTTTAGCCTTTTATCTTAAAACTGGCTTTAGCCGCTTAGAAAACAGAGTCACTTAAGTCATTTCATCACACAGTGGAAACAGCAGTGACAAGGTATCACATGGTTGTGTCATTTATTCCCCAGAACTTAAACTAGAGCAGTGACAGGAAGCTACCAGCCCCCACTTTGACATCCTGAAAACATGGTTTCCAGGTGGGGCAGCGGCTCCTGCCACAAACACCAGCCTTTATTTCCTCGGATGAGCCTTAGGCTGCCTGCTGGGTCAGTGCTGACCTGCGGTGCTGAAGCCTTGGGGAAAGAAAGAAAGAAATCCCCTGGGCCCTGCGTGCCTGACAGTCAGCTCTCCGTGCTCTGGAACCCCTGGGTGAAAGGACTGGGGACCGAAGGGGTTCAGGGGAGCCTCTGCCAGGACAGCATCTAGCCAGGCTCCCTGGCATGTTGCCCCAGGGGGGGGTACTTCCCACAGCACCGCTCTACGCTGTAGGTAAATAGGGTGTCCCCAGCCCCGAGCCCTTTGGGTCAGCTTTCACCACCTTTCAGGTCTGGGGAGCGGTGAGGAGGAAGTAAGAGGGTCAAATGTTCATCACTTCTGATGCCAACAGAAATAATGACATGGCAACTGTCGCGAAACACAGCGTGCTACTGCCGAGGTCCCGCGTCTGTGCTTCGCCTTGCTTTCATACCTTGATGCCTTGTGTATGAGCACCGCAAAGAGAAATGAGTCACACACGGAGAACAGACACAATTAGATGCAATTAACTACGTGGAGGTGGAACCTTAGGAAATCTGTGCTGTGAAAACTGACAAGGCTTCAACTATTTTCTTTTAAGGAAGCACCAACAAATAAACTTCTCTACGCTAAGGACATTCCGCTCTACAAGAAGGAGGTGAAAGCGTACTACAAAGCCATCAGGGATCTGCCTCCCTTGACCACTTCAGAGGTTGAAGACTTTCTAACTCAGGAATCTAAGGTAAGCAGGCGAAGCTGCCGCTTCCCGACCACATGCGTTACGGTTCTTGAAGGAGGAGAACTGTCTGACCAGAACTGTTTTCTGCTTTAGAAACATGAAAATGAATTTAATGAGAAAGTGGCCTTGGCTGAAATCTACAGGTACATAGTGAAATACTATGATGAGGTAAGCACACCTGCTACTCCTGCTTAACCCTTCGTGCTAACTTGCTACCTCAGGCTTGAAGGGTGGGCTGGACAGAGTGAGCAGGGCCTGGCCGAGGCTGCTCCCGCTGCTCTGTGTGGGGCAGAGCAGCGCAGCCCTGCAGCAGCTGGGGCTGGAGCCCCCACCTCTCGGTGTTGGTAAAGGCACCCCCACCGTCGCAGCGGTATGGCACAGAGGCGGTAGCGGTGAAATTCTCCCTGCGGTTTGGGGAAAGTCCCTGTGCAGTCTAGGCTTCCCGTTTACTGTGTTCGCTTGGCTTCTGCTCCCTCCTGTCACAACTCAGGCGCAGTCGCTCCGTTTCCCTGGGGATTCAGCAATCAGATTAGACTGAAGCACCAGGGATCTCGGTTTAACCGTCAGTGCAAACACCTCAGCGCAGCGCGCTCAGCCTTACAGCAAGAGGTGTCTGCTCCTTTCCCATCATGGTCCTCTTCCGCTCTGCTCCAACAGCCTTTCTCTCAAAGGAAATAGGCGATGCCTTCCCCTCCCCGCTACTGCTAACAAAAGAAATCTGTTCTCCGCTGAAGGCACTCGGTCACAGGCGACCTCTAAGCTGCTTTCTAAGAAAATTCCTGCCCTCTGCTTTGCACGACGGGATTCTCCATTCCGCTTTGCTCGGTATCCTTAACGGAGGCTGCGTGTGCTGGCGCGGGGAGGCTGGGCTGTGCCGCCTGAAGGCCTCCTTACCACTTCCAGCGGGTTGTCTGGGTCTCCCAGCAACCAGACCCTTCTCTCTTTCATCCCCAGCAGCACAGCGTCAGTGCTGGCTGTCAGCGTCCAGCTCCCAGTCACCGGGTAGCTGGCTTACCGCTTCTCCTCTCCAACGCCTCCCGTTAGCTGGGTTCGGCAGCAAATCCTCGCCTCTCGCCAGAAGCCTGGGATGGCGCTCGGAGCGGTGCTGCACTTAGCAAGCTCGTTCAAACTGCTGCCACGGGAGGGCTCAGGACACTTTCTGAGCTTCGCGCCCATCTTTGCCCGTGGGAAGCCAGTGCTGGCCAAACTGTCACCCCGTCCTCAGAAGGACACCCTCCCGCGGCTCTCCCTGCTCCGGCCTTGGGCTGGGAGCAACTCAGCCTCACGCGCTGTTGGCCGAGACCTTGCGCGCTTTGCTGAGTTGCCAGCGGCGGGTTTTCCGACAGCGGTAGCGCTTCTTCCTATCGCCCGGGCTGGTGCCAAGCGGGCTGGTTGAGGGAGGAGGGGCTGCTTCTTGCCCTCTATTTGTAGGGTAGGGCAGGGGAAAGGAAATAAAAGCACATTTTGCCCATCTGCTCCAGGGTAAAACCGAAGCACCGGCCTTGCCTCACACTTGGAGAGATGAACGTGTGCTGGGTTTGTTTGGGGTTCTTTTCCTTGGCTCTGTCATTCTCCAGTGGAAGTGTTGCGAATCCTGTAATCGTAATGACTTGAAAGGAAAACTACCAAAATAAAGTGTTAAAGTCAGAAAAGAATGTTTACATCTAGGCAGGCGTTCAGATGGAATTTTCTTGCCAGCAGTTGTTGGAATGCGGAGAAGCAGGCTTTAAAAAACAGCAAGGAAAATAAGCACTAAAAAAGGACTCTCTTTTTTCCTAATTGTTACCAGATTGTCAGCAAACTTGAGCGAGAACGGGGGTTTGAAGACGTCCAGAAACAGCTCCAGCAAGTGAAAGACTTATTTGATGAAAAGAAAAAATGCAAATGGCTCTGAGCGGAGCACGGACTTGCAGCGTCGCCGTGGGGGATTTTCACTGCGCGCTACTGCTCCCAGAACTGTTTTGACTGACTGTGCGTACGGGGTTTGAAACGTTTGGACACTCCTCTCCACTGTGACCGTTCCAAGAAACAACAGCTGCGTTTGGGAATGAGGCACGGGCGGGGTGACGGACTCAGACATGGGCACGCAAAAGCAGCAGCAGGGCCGGCCTTCTCCAGTACTTGAACACGTGTACCTTCGGGGTCGGAAGCGCTGCCTAAGGAAGCGTCCGGCTGCCCGGAAACCAGCCGGTGGGAGCTGCGCAGCGAACCCTGCAGGTTTGGAGCTGCCCCTGTGACCCCGTCAGTCGCTTAGCTCTTCCCTTCCAAGAGAAAAAACTGATGTTTCGCCACCTCCTTTCAGCAGCCTTGGCAATCTCCCGGGATGAGCCCCGGCTTCAGGATACGGGTCAGCTGCAGTTTCCTTCCTGCCAGACAAATGTCCACTGGTTCCGGTTCGGAAAAAACCGACCAGCACCGAAGTGACACTTGGGACAAGTCTCTTCAGCAGCAAACGCGGGTCTGAGGTTGGAAGGCCACGCGCAGGACTTCCCTCCCCAAGGTTAGAAATCCCACGTGCAACACCAACCAGCCATGGAGCAGGCGGGGCGGCCTTAGGGGAAAGGCGCGAGGCCGGCATCAGGCTGCGTTCACGTTTCTACCGTTCCGTCCTTAAATAAGCTGTGAAATGCTTGTGAGCAGCCTCCCCC